CTCTCTCTCTCTCTCTCTCTCTCTCTCTCTCTCTCTCTCTCTCTCTCTCTCATTCTAATAGCTCTTCCCCTTTCTTCAAGTCTCTCGTTATTTCTCCCCTCTTCCCCTCCACTACTTTCTCCCACCAGGTTTATTGGCATACAGTTAGCTCCGTTGGTATCACCCTTGGCTACAATACCGAGCACATGAATCCCCAGCCGGTCTTTCCTGATACCTTCCATCCCGTCCACGGACGTTATTGTAATAAGGGGTGCCTACATACGCGATTGGATCGGGTCGGGTCGTGTCGGGTCAGGTCGATCTGGTAGTTGGGGTCACGGGGTGCCCACTACGGCTGGGATCGGCCGATCGGGCCGATCGCCTGACTCGATCGCCTAAAAAACAAACGAGTTTATTTTCAGTTTCAGGCTATCGAGTCGGGCGATCGGCCCGATCCAGCCGTAGTGGGCATAGAGCAACTTAAGCGTCCATCGTGACACAAACCGATCGATTCGGTCGGTGACCTACAAAAACAAACGCCGATTTTTTTTTTCAGGCCTGCAAATCCTGCGATTGGGGGATTTGCACCCAATTACAACAAGGCTGAGTCACGTGTCCATGTTGACACTCAAAATCCGGTGGCGCCCTCTTCGAAAAAGCGCTGACTTTGCGAGCAGAGTTACCCTACTTGTGGGAAAAATAATAAAAGCGAAACACCCAAAATGGGCTATTCCTGCTCTTCTTCTAGAGAAACGATAGAGAGCTTCACAAAGCAAAGACTGCAGCACCATCTGAACCAATGCGCGGACTTCCACGAACACTTTTTTGGCCGAGTGAACTAGAGCTATCTTCTTATGAACGATCGTTGATAATAGAAAGTTATCGATGTAACTATTCTAACCATGTTTATGGAATTCCAGGCTGCCGCAGCACTGCAACAGGGAACTGCGGAAAGGAGCCCTGGAAGCCATTGAGGGTAAAGGTTTCTCTACTTTAACTTCCTGATCGTCGGGTACAATCGCGGTGGGTTGTAGTGTGTTATGAAACCACCAGAAAACGACCCGACCGGACGATCCTACCCGACTCGACCCGATCCGCTCTCGCTAATGGGCACCTCCTACAAGGTCCAACATGTTCTCTTTTACTACGTAAATCTTATTCCTCCCCTGCACCCTCCCCCCCCCCACACACACACCAACTAGCCCCTTCTCTAAACTGCCAGTGTTATCATGTCAATGGATTTCTCTATACAATTGAACCTGGACAAGACGAAAATACAATGTCGAGGAGAAAATGGCCATCTTAGACAGGTGGTTCTCTTCTATAGTGTCATAAAAATATTATTAGAAAACAATGGGGGAGAGGGTGAGGAGAAGTAGATGTTTATCTTGTACTGAACTCAAACTCAACCCGTTTCCCACTGCGC